CCAGCACTTACTGCAACACAAAACCTTGGTTAATATGATATAGGGATGTGCGATTTTATCGGTATACCGATATATCGCGATTTTTTGTTGTGTGATACGTATTGTGATACGGAGACCTAAATACCGCTCTTTAGGGACATATTTTAAATATTTATTTGTTCAATCTTTCAAATTACATTTACAGAAAGTATTAAAAAATGTTGTAACAAGTGAAAAGAACGGTATCTTACCATCCAAACATGATTGATTTTATATACATAAAAATTTCAAGAAAGTAAAGTTTTGTTTTTCTAGCATATTTTTTAGAAAAATAATGACTTTTCATATAAAATCATTGTAAAAACTGCTTTTTAAAATATCATGATATTATCGTGATTTTGTGGGAAAAAATCGTGATATGATGCAATACAAAATTTTTGGCGATACCCATTCCTAATATGATATCATCCAAAGGACCAGTTTCATTCCCACAGATGGATTTGAACCCAAGACATATGGATCGACTTCTTACTTCACCACTCTAAAGCAGACATTCTAACCACTGCATCAAGTGGGAGATAGGGCTGCCACGAATCAGAAAATTTTCGAATCGATTCGGGTCAAACAAAAACCTCAATTTTCGAATAATTTTGGTTCGATTCTAAGAAATAGATTTTTTCAATTTTTTGTATAAAATCTGTAATCTTTGATCAACATAATCATAAGACATTCTTTAATAAATAATGATTCGTACTTTTATAAGGTTTATTAAGATAAAATGGAATGTAAAGCCAAGAAAACAAAGAAAATAATACCTAATGTTTTAATTACAAAGTATTACCCAAGAATCATATAGTGGAAATCAAAGTTAATAAAAATGCTGGTCATTGTTTTTAAAAGATGAAACATGCGAACAAATCTTTCAAACAAAACCAATGATCTCATATTAACTATTATGCTAAACATAAAAATATAGGTGATTTGCTTACAAAGGCTGTTTGGCCAAAATACAAACGGTAAGGTCGCTGCTGTGATTTTAAATTTTAGATTTACAAATACGATATCAAACCACCTACCACATTACTGTCATAACAAGAATGTCAATAATCATTTCACTTTCAAAATGATCTCAATATTTAAAAGAAATATGGAAATTCGCAGCACCCTGTCGGTTCCTGTACATTCAGAATTACGTGGCTGATGGGTGTTGCCTTTAAGTAAATCTATTTATCATCTGGGCCATCTTTCTTTGGAAAATGGAACTTGGAAGTAGTCCCACGTTGACTTCTTTGCTGCCATTTTCATGTTTTTGTTTACTTTAACATGATTTGCCATCATTTCTTCCGATTAACCAATAGGAATGCGTGTAACAACAGCAAATGTTAGTGTGTAAAAAATCAAACCTGAATCGAATCGAAATCCTGGAAAAATGTACCGAATCGAACTGAAAGATTGTGAATCGCGGTTAACCAATATTTCGGTTAATCGTGGCAGCCCTATTGGGAGACCTGTGCTAAATGGAAGTGACTTTATTTGCAACTGGATGTTGAGTGCTGTTTGATTTGCTCTTTGCAAGGGGATGCTCCACTCTGCAATGCCCTTGTTGAAAATCTTACAGTAATACAACATTCTCTATTTAATGACTTTGGGCATAACTTGTTACTGTATATTTTGTCCTGGTGTTAATCTTGATCAAGTTAGGGTGATCAATTTTTTTTTACTACATGTCTTTATAGTGAATTCTTACTAAAATACAGGAATTCCAGAATGTTAGATAAGATTATAGTTCATTAGAATGATCAGGGTCTGACTCAATATATTATTAATAAACCAATTCTTTAAATATTTAAATTATAAACATATTTAAAGAACCAGGATCATTAAAAATTATATAATTTTCACTCTTTCGCTCTTGTGTTATTTTTATATCTGTTATTTGAATTACAGTTACTGTTTGCTAGTCTGACCCATTTATTCTCTTATCATTCAATTTCTGCACTGTTGCAAAGACTGCATGGAGATTTAAATGTTTTTGTCATTCGGCTCACCTCAGCTATTTACATTACCCTGGCCACAATGCGTTTATTTTATAGCAGGAAGTAAATTACATTTTACCTGGATACATGTCATACATTACAAATGGCTGACATTTATCACGACTTGAGATAATGTGAAAGAAATTTATCTACTAGACCACAGAAAAGGTAATACTTGAGTAAGTGTTGAGCATGTTGAAAGCTATACACGCTTATACCACTACCTAGAGTGTCTTCATTACCTACATTCTGATAATAACTATTTTTAGAGTTTGAATCAACAACAATGGACCAGGTACCAGATACAGCCCAGCACTTTATTGAATGTGACACAGAATCATGTAGGAACTTTTCTGAGTTTTACTGTAATACCTGTCATCAGCGAATATGTGACCATTGTAGAGAGACTCATTTAAAGGAAAAAAAAGAACATGAGATTGTGAGATATCAGGAGAGAGAGAGAAAACTTCCATTTGAAAAATGCAGGATCCACCCCACAAAAGAATTAAATGTCTTCTGTGATGATTGTTATGATCCTCTTTGCTCTAGATGTTTTGCCCATCATCACAGTGATCATGATAACCGTCACCTCAAAATCATTTTCAATGACATTCTACTGCAATGTCAGAAGGAAATAACTGAGATCTGGGAAACTGTCATTCCTAAAGCTAAAGATAATGTTGAATTACTTGCAGGAGAAAAAGAAAGCATTAAGAGTAAAATTCCAAAGATAAGACTTTCCATGAAGAAGAGAGCAGATGAACTGAAGAAGGCTGTTGACAGTGTACTAACTGATAATAATAAAAAACTGGATGAGATTGAAAACTCTGTACTAAATGATATGGCGAAAGAACAGAAGGAGTTAGAGGACTACATAAAGTACCTGGAAAAATTGATTGAAGACTATGAGAGTAAAATGTCTTCAATAAAACCCACTGAACTTATGAAGTTCCATTTAGACATTTCATTGGCTACCCTTAAGATGCCTAGCAAATCTGAACCCAAATTTCCAACTTTTACATTAAGTACACTAAATAAACAAGAAATAGCCAAACAGTTTGATAAAATAGAATTAGATTTATTAGAAAGGTTTAAACTTTCTTCTGTCACAAAACTAAGTGAAAAAACTATACACGACAAAGGAATGTTTCATTTGTCTCTCTTACCCCCAAACAAATTTTGGGCCAGTCAAAGGTGGGAGAATCTTATTCAGTATGATATGGAGGGAAACATTTTACAGAAAATACATACCAGTATGTTGAAGATCCAATCTAACCACACAGTCACAACAGAGGGAGAACTACTTTACACAGATTTCAATAAAAACACTGTATACAGAGTAACTAGTGACATGTCTACTAACACACTAATTGAATCAGGGAGGTGGAGACCTGAAGCCATCTACTCCTCTCCTATAAATGGACACATATTGGTCGGGATGGAGAGAAACAGAGGACAAAATAAAATAACCAGATACAACAGAGAAGGAAGGAAGTTACAGGACATACAGTGGGATGATAAAGGTCACAGACTCTACAAAAGTGTTAACTATATTACGGAGAACATCAATGGTGACATCTGCACATCTGACTGGGAAGACCTTAAAGTTGTGGTGGTGACAGCATCAGGAACGTATCGCTTCTCTTACTCTGGTCACCAATCTCAGTCTGGATTCCTTCCATTTGGAATCTGTACAGATGTTCTGGGAAACATTTTGGTGTGTAATGGCTACTTTACAAATAATGAAAACTGCACTAGTATCCACCTGCTTGACATGAATGGTCAGTTCTTGTCTCTCCTCCTCACACCAGAACAATGTCCTCCATCTCCTCATGCTCTCTGTATTGATGAACAACACAACCTCTGGGTCGGGGGAAGAGACAGTTCTACTGTCTCTATATACAAGTATTTACAGAATACAGAAGAATGATATCTTATTTACTGTATTATGTTTATGCTTAATCAGTTTGTGTAACATATAACCTCTCCTAGTTAGACATAAGAGTTAAATTCATATGTGTTAACTTAATGGAGAAATGAACAAAGGTTCACTGGAAAATGAATTTAGTTGAAAACATATTCAAATCCCAGATTTAATCCATTGATAATTGTTTTATAATAACAGTCTTGTTTTGATTGCTTATATCTAGAATTTGAGACAAATAACACAAATAACAAGCCAGATAATTTTGTTGTGACACACATGGGTGGTAAGTTCACCTATATCTCCACAGCATTTGATCTTTATCAATAATCTTTGCAATATGAAATTACAGAATTTGTAATATTAATATTAATCAAAAATAATTATTAATGTAAAAGGTTCAACTAGAAAAAACCATAATATTTTAAATTGTACAATACACATGTAAATTTTTTTTGTTCTCTTCACTGTTATAAAATTGGTCAGTTTGCTCTTGTTTGCTTAGAATACTAATTGTCAATGAGCATTTGAACATTCTATGTTGCTTAACAGCTGTCATATTTTAAACAATGTCATGTACATGTATTAAAAGTATCTTAACAGGGATTTATCAAGGCTGCTTTAACTACTGGTAAAAAGTACCTTTCCCCTCCTGAAAAAGGTGCAAAAATTCCCCTTTTTCAGATAGAAAATTCTCCGATTAAACGGAGAATATTTAAAACATCGTTCTGAAACTTTCCGTTTTTGTCTGATTGAAGTTTAACAGCATATCCTAATTTACCATCCTAGTCATTCAAATGCTTTTAAAGGAAAGAATTAGATTATTCAAGCTTTTATTTGATATAATTGATCGATAAAATTTACCAAGTCCATCATGTCGAAAGATACATATGCAATTGCAGAGTTAAAAAGAAAATGTAGATGAGTGAGACGGAGCCTATATCACTATGAATCGTAAGAATGGAATAACAACAAAAACAATGTTAGTAGTGAAACATGGAAAACAGAATTGGTTTGTGATAGATATTCAGCGAAAAAATGAAATAAAGTAGTGACCTGGTTAAAAATTTTTTTTATTTAATTTTGTCTAAAAAGTGTAGTTTTTGTAGCCTTTGTAAAGGTCTACAAATGACCTTCAGAAGCTTTTAGAATGGAGAATTTTGCTCCATTTATTTAAAAATTTTCTAGGTGGGGCTTGCCCCCGGACCCCCCTATAATACTTGCGCCTCTGGCACTTAGATCGAGCCTGCGGCTTTCAATTTTCCCTTTTACATATCAAACAGTAGTAAAACAAAATAGCTAGATAAATCCCTGCTTAATAAACCAGGGTCATAGCTATCAAGTTAATTTTAGTATCCAAGATTAAATCCAACCTTACCCAATTTTCTCTGGTCCTTTCAATACTTGATGCCATGCTTTGAGGAGATGGAGACCAGTTTAACCACCAGTTTAGTCCTGTAGCTGACGTGTTGGTCCACAGTTGTTGGTACAAATCGCAGAGTATCTCACACAAAGTGGTACCGGCAGCTTCCTGTAAATAAACGTTGTAAAATTTGCATATCATAATGATAAAATCTCTATTGTTCAATAGCAAGTTCTCTAAAGGTACTGTACGTGTACATACATTGGCGTAACTTTTCAAAATTTAGCATAATAACTGGGTTTGAAATTGTTGGCATAAACATAAATTAGCGCTATGTGTCCGTTCAGTGTATTGTATAATTATGGAAATGATTTGTTAGAGATACAGTGTATTCATTGATTAGCACATTGCTGTCTGCGCCAAAGCAACTAAATTATGAGGCCTGCTTTTTAAAGTACACATGTATACACTATAACGTTATTTAGATCTTTCCTGTGTTTTAGCATCAATTCACTCATCACCTTGAAGTCGGCATCAGTTCAATAATAAAACACTAAAATTACCTGACTTTTGTCTTCACACTTTGCTTTCAGTTTTGCTAAAACCATCGGTGACACAGGAGTAAACTGGCTTCCATAGTTAACTAATGCCACTATCTCTGTTGAGGCAGTATATTCTAATGATGTCATCATTTCATTGACTAGCTTCAGTTCAGAGATAACAAACATGTGATCATGTAGAGGCCAAAGGTCAACATGATTTCCAGTTGTTGACTGGCTGCACAGTGACAGTTGATTGTTGTATTCTGGTTGGTCCACTTCCATTGCATTGTCCACTGCCTTTATTTCCTCTCGTGTTAGGTTATATTGCTGAAGGAGTTGTCTAACCTTTCTAATGGTCTCTGTGTTATTGCCTGGAAGTTTATAAATTCAAATATTGCAATTGGTAATGCAACCAAAACAAAATCATGAGGTTCAAATTAAAGGAGGATAGACAAAACAGAAAGTAATGTCACTTCAGAAACTTAGCTTACAGTTATAAGAGAATCCCCATCTTATAAAAAAGAATTTATTTTTTTGGTTGAAGGCATGCTTTATTCATACCATATGGAATTCCAGCTTTCACTTCAGTCCCTGCATTCATTACTAATGACACGAGTTCACTCCTCCTGCCAAGGTTTAACTGGATTTTGTACTTCATAATGAGGTCAGCAGCCTCTCTATGGATGTCAGACAGTTTACAGAGGTCACTCAGGGTCAGACAGTTCTCAGCCTCACTCTGGTTTCTGTAAGGGTGTGGGTGACCATGGGAGTTCCAGAACCTGATGTAACAATCCGTCTCCTCATATCCTGACAGCAGACCTTCACCAGCCTGGTACAGATGTGGAAAACACTCCATAAACCTACAGGGTCCGGGAGAGAAACACAGTTTAATGGATACATAGTCTCGTGCAGATGAGAAAAGCACTCCATAAATCTAAAGTGTCAAGGAGAGAAGTACTGTTTAATTGATGCACAGTCTTTGTGTTGTCACGTCATTGTTGTAGAATTTTAAATATCAATTCAGTCAACATCATTCAATAAATTATCAAAACATAAATAAAATAAAAAAAAAATTCTTTAACTTTATCCTTGGAAAAATTCAATTTCAATGAATTAATATTAATAAACATTCAGATTTATATGGCTTTTAATTATCAGTTCTAAATTGTTTTCATTGAATTGATAAAAATATTAATAGGCCACTCATTAATCTTTATAATATCATACAGAGATATATCATCACCTGACTTCGTTCTTTACCTGTAACCAATTACAGGCAGTAGTTTGTCCTTGACCCAGGAATATAACAGGATGACCTTGTTAAGGTTATGATCCTGTGTGTAGGTGACCAAGGACTCCCTCATCCTAACAACCATGCTTTGAAAATCCTTCGGCTGACAAAGATGGCTGAATTGATGTAGTATTTTATCTGTCTGTATTACATCAATCATCAGATTGTCAAGGGTCCTATAATCTACATCAAAACTCTCCTTGCTCCTTTCTATACAAACAAATTCACAAACAAAATCACTGTAACTTTTTCTTCCAATTTCCAAAATTGAGATAATGGGCACCACAAATACATGTAACAGTACTTTGTAACATTCATAACAAATTCTTTGAAGTAAAATACTGTTATTGTCTGTTATATCTTGACCTACCCTCTAAGAACTTTTTATATATCATTTACCTCCAATCTAAGTAAATCATTTTCACGGCCTCTGTTCCTAACTGCTCAGGAAATCTCTTCAAATTTAACAGAACTTTTAAATTTTGTGTTCTCGGGCAAAATATTTTTTTTGTTGACACATTGAACCCAATATGTTGCCCCCTAACTCAGTCAATGGTTTTTATAATATCCAATTTAATAAAATAACATAAAGATAACATACATTTTTGGCATACTTTATTTTCCAGTATTTTGAGGCTTAACAACTTGATTTCAACAATAACCAAAGAAACATCAACATCCCTTCAAACAAAGGTCAATTTGAATCACATGTATCATGGCATAATTTGATAAACTAAAAATCACACATGCACAGTAAAATGACTTTGTTCAATCCTCCCTTTTTCACATACACCAATTGAAATATTATCATCATGATCTGTTACTTTGTCAGACCATGTCATAGTAAATTTTACAAGTATCTACCTGGTCTCACACAAAGTTCTATCAAAATGCTGGGTCACAACAAAACAATGGTTTATTGTTTATAACAAAAATGAATTCATTAAAACACTTCTCGTGATAAAAGTTTTAAACTAATTTTTCAGCTCTCTTATTACATGCATTAACATTATCATTGAGTTTTGAAATGTACAAAGAATATTTTTCTGGTGTAAAATGTTTCACTAGAAACAAAATATTTAAAGATAGTCACCATTGTAACAGAAGATTAATCAATAACTTTTATGCGTGGTTTGATCCTATATTTTTAAGCTCTATAGTCACATTATTTCCATGCAAACATATTATATTATCATTTGTATTGTATGCATTGTATGTCCTCACAAGTTCCGTCTCAAACCACTGCACATCTATCTACATGGGAATACGTACGACATCAATTAACATCTACACAGCAATAATCATCCACAGTTCTTAAAGAGAAACCATTGTCATACGACAAAAAATAACATCTACACAGAAAAAATCATCCACAGTTTTACAAGATCAACCATTTTCATACGACATCAAATATCATCTACACATAATACATTTTGTGAATCACCTCTGTTGCATCTCTAAAAAAAGGTCTTTAAAAGGCATTACACAGAATCTTCACAGAATTCATTAAACATCCACTGCTGTCACAAGTTCAAACCATTGTCTTAAGGCGTCACACAACACATGAGGAAGGGAGTTAATATCTCGCAGTATGATGTAGAAAGGAAAAGGGAAGTAATCCATGTAGGGCTTGATTTCTGGAAGCTGAAATTGACGAATACAAATGAATTGCATGTCTTAAATCAACATCACTATATTCTTGAACATTATTATGCTTGTCATCAGTCAGTAAAATGAACAAACATAATTTATTATCATTTCAGATCTAACAACTTTTGCAGTTCTCCCCTTGATGTGAATATACTTTTTTCTTATAGTAATTAAGATATTTGGATTCAACACAAGTTTTAAAAAACATTATCTTCCCTCTCCTTTTCTTTAGGAAATGATTACAAAATTCCTGTAAAGAAATACCGTAACTTCCAGGAAAACATCATCAACAAGACGATGTGGAACCACAATGTTACTTAAATATAGTGACATAAAGAGCATAGAGGCTTGCTATTCATTACTTAATATTCTTGTTATTAATTACTCATCATTTAATCCTTCTCTGTTTTGTAGAGTTCTTACCTGGCTTCCGCTTCTGAAAACTGGGACTTTAATGTCTAATATAGAATCCTGGAATTAGAAGCATATGATATTTAATATTTAAAAGTAATTTGACAAATTATCAATTATCCAAAATAACCAACTCATATTACCCAAAACAGAACATGGGGAATACAGGAGTTATGTACCTTGTTCTGGGGATTATCAATGATGACAAACACCAGGAACACTCCCGCCTCCCGCGCCTGTCTGACAGCTGATCTCACTGTCTCCATTCCCTCGTTAAACAAGCCCCGCCCATCAGACACGATCAGCAGTAACTGTGATGTCTCAGGATTACCCAGAATCCCTCTCTGTCGGGAGTGAGCATCCAGCATCACTGATGTGGCTTTCTTCAAAAGCTGAAAACAGAATAGGCACAGAGTAGGTATGCTGTCGTACACAGACCTGTTATTATAACATTAAATGATAACAATAAATTTTATCAATGGCTACGTTTGGTGCACATGTACTAACATCTTTTCAGTCCTACCTGAGCCACTTTGGTTTTCTTCTGTTCAAATGTAAACTGCTGTAAGAGTCTGGACCCGGAGTGACTTGTGAACTGCTCGGTGAACGGGTGAAGGACTTGTACAGACTCTCCAAAACTGTGGATATAATATTTGTTTATTAAATAATGAGCTAACCAAGGTACAATTTTTTTAATTCCCCACAAATTGTACATTGATCTATAACATACCTGCAGATACTCAAATCCCCTGACTCTAACAAAGTCAGAGCATTAGAAATCAACGCCAGGGACTCTAAAGCCAACTGTTAAAAGAAAATAAATCATTATTCTGTAAAACTGACCGACATTTCTTTTGACATTTACAGATTAAAAATCATCCACAAAAATGTATTTTTCCCCATCATTTTGTTTCATTCTATAAATCTAATCCTTACTTTTGTGTTTTTTCCCTTTGTTTCACTTTATCCTGGACTTTTTGCTTGATTTAAATGTTTACGTTTCTATCTGTATCTTGACCTAGCTTCCTCGTCTTTTTATTACTGACCTGTTTGGAGTGGTTGTCAACCATACTGGAGGAGTCGTCTATAGCCAGCATAATCTGGTACTGTCGTTTGCTGGGTTTGGTACGACGGAGCCAGATTTTGTCTTTTCTGAACTGACTGGCGATGTATGGAATGACTTTCCTCATGTTTAATCTCTTCCCTGTCCTGTAGTCTCCCCTAAAACACACAAGGTAACTTTTTCATTACAATCATAACTTGGTATTTAAGTCTCCACTAAAACACATCATGTAACTTATATAAATAAATCTGATTATAATACAGGGGACCTTACCTGAGTTTTGTGGCCTGTGAGGGCTCTAACACTAGCCTGAGTTGTTCACACAGTTCAGGGGACCTTACCTGAGTTTTGTGGCCTGTGAGGGCTCTAACACTAGCCTGAGTTGTTCACACAACCTTACCTGAGTTTTGTGGCCTGTGAGGGCTCTAACACTAGCCTGAGTTGTTCACACAGTTCAGGGGACCTTACCTGAGTTTTGTGGCCTGTGAGGGCTCTAACACTAGCCTGAGTTGTGCACACAGTTCAGGGGACATTACCTGAGTTTTGTGGCCTGTGAGGGCTCTAACACTAGCCTGAGTTGTTAACACAGTTCAGGGGACCTTACCTGAGTTTTGTGGCCTGTGAGGGCTCTAACACTAGCCTGAGTTGTTCACACAGTTCAGGGGACCTTACCTGAGTTTTTTGGCCTGTGAGGGCTCTAACACTAGTTCACACACTAGCCTGAGTTGTTCACACAGTTCAGGGGACCTTACCTGAGTTTTGTGGCCTGTGAGGGCTCTAACACTAGCCTGAGTTGTTCACACAGTTCAGGGGACCTTACCTGAGTTTTGTGGCCTGTGAGGGCTCTAACACTAGCCTGAGTTGTTCACACAGTTCAGGGGACCTTACCTGAGTTTTGTGGCCTGTGAGGGCTCTAACACTAGCCTGAGTTGTTCACACAGTTCAGGGGACCTTACCTGAGTTTTGTGGCCTGTGAGGGCTCTAACACTAGCCTGAGTTGTTCACACAGTTCTGGGGACCTTACCTGAGTTTTGTGGCCTGTGAGGGCTCTAACACTAGCCTGAGTTGTTCACACAGTTCAGGGGACCTTACCTGAGTTTTGTGGCCTGTGAGGGCTCTAACACTAGCCTGAGTTGTTCACACAGTTCAGGGGACCTTACCTGAGTTTTGTGGCCTGTGAGGGCTCTAACACTAGCCTGAGTTGTTCACACAGTTCAGGGGACCTTACCTGAGTTTTGTGGCCTGTGAGGGCTCTAACACTAGCCTGAGTTGTTCACACAGTTCAGGGGACCTTACCTGAGTTTTGTGGCCTGTGAGGGCTCTAACACTAGCCTGAGTTGTTCACACAGGGTAACACTCTGAGTTGTTCACACAGTTCAGGGGACCTTACCTGAGTTTTGTGGCCTGTGAGGGCTCTAACACTAGCCTGAGTTGTTCACACAGTTCAGGGGACCTTACCTGAGTTTTGTGGCCTGTGAGGGCTCTAACACTAGCCTGAGTTGTTCACACAGTTCCTGAGACAGAGTTGATGTCAGGGCCTCGTATCGGTGCCATGCCTCTGATGCTGCCTCCTCCTGTCAACAATAAATAATGTAATAAATAAACAACAAAAATTATGTTCAGTGTAAGAGTGAAAAATTTTGTTTATATCCATCATGTATCAACATAAATTAAACGAAATATCCAATTTTATAAAAAGAGTGAAAACTAACTTAAGGTTATTATTGTTGAGTATTGCCGTACCCTGACTTTTAGGTGAAGATTCTCCAGTGTGGTGTGAATTGTAGATTCTGGTCCCCTTGAGGCCCCCAGTGTTTCCTTGACAACACCCTCTGTTTCGTATTTCTTTGTCTTCTCCTGATCTTCATTCATCTCTTCTTCATTCCTTCCTTCCTTTCTCTTGCTATGTTTGTCCTTTGTGTTTATTTGAGATGACAGCTTTTCTACATTTTCATCCATTTCCTGTAGAACGATCAAGACTTATAAAGTATACATTAATATCATGAAAGATCACATTACCCGAACTTTCTTTGCTTAAATCCAGAACAAAAGCTTGTGTGAAGGGGGGGGGGTCTTTCTTAATTCATACAGGTATTTTTCATTATCTTTTCCACTTTAAACCTACAAACTCTGACACATGCTACAGAAGTTTTCTTTACTCACCTCTTCTTTGTCCTCTTCCATCTTCACCTCCTCCTCCACCCCTTCATTCTCTGGATCCACCTCTCTGTTAGGTACAGCCTCCTCCATCTGTTGTTTATCAGTGGCGACATCTGGTGTCTGAACATCATGAATAGATTTTGTGTCCTTAATATGTTAATACAGCTCCGAGTCTTTTTTCTGCAGAATCTTGATTTTCCTCACTCTACAAAATACAGAATGATGAATCTTATTTCAATGTGAATGAAAGATGATTCAAGGTAACCACCCTTCTAATTACACATAATATATTGATTTTTTTTTGCCCTGCTCCTTACATTACAGATATTTACACCTGACTTGTTAACCAATCAAAACTTGTATTACAATCTACATAGGAAAAGCTTTTAACTACCTCCTCATTGGCAGAAGCTTCCTCAATTGTCTTCAACTTCTTAAACTGGTTCTCGTTAGATCCCAAGCTTCTGTCTTCATTGGACTGACCTGCTTTTCTTTTCACAGACTACAAGTACAATTACAATAGGATGTGTAATGGGTGGACAGCGTATGGTAAATGATTCTGTCTTACATGGATTAAAAATTTGGGCTTGGATATTTGTGCCTTTATATATACTTGTAATACAATATACTATGATTTAAAATTCCTTAATTATACATAAACTCAAAGACCATGTATTTTTATGTAAGAACAAGAAAACTGATGCCAAAATACCTTCTGAGACTGATTGGTGGATGAAGGTGCAACCTTTGAACTTTGACCTTCATGACAATCTTCAGCTTCTAAGTTTGAGGTTCCAGTTCCTTCACTCTGTACTAGATATAAAACAATTTAAAGGATAACAAAATCATAAATATACTTTCCTTTCACTTTTTTTTTATTAGGCAAATCTTTACATTATTCCAGGGACTTTTAATTCAGTCTTAAACAATAACACACTGACTAACCTGCTGAAAGGAAGGAAAGTTCTGTCTGAATTCCTCCTCCTCTATCACTCCGTTGTCTCTGTCGTCGCCGTGGAGTTTTGTCTTGTATTTATACAGACCCTCTTCAGCCTCTTTCTGATGTTGTATCTCCTCCTGATGTTTCCATGACAACATATAATGATTGAAGATTTGGTGCAGAGACAACAGGTTCTCTCTGTTTAATTCTTTTCTCATCATGGCTGAGTTCCGCAGTAAAAACAATGCACCAAGGTAAAGTCTAAAAGAGGAAGGGATAAAACAATAAAATATTAGAAGCAGCATGATATAGTTTTATAAAGTTCTCTCCTCAACCAATGAAAATTCAATATTTTCATATAAGATAGTATACATGACAGTAAATTTGTACCTTGAAGAGCGGTATGTCCTGCTCTCCTCTGCTTGATCCCCACAACCAGACACCAGCCTCTCCACTTACAGGATTTTCTGAGCTAGCTTTAGGCTGCTGGTCATGTCAGATGAAATAAACGGGAACTTTCCCAGAAGCTGAGCTGCCTCCCTGATGTGATCAACTGTCTCCTGGACCTTGAGAACAAAATTCTAAAAATTTATATTTCTGAGAAAATTCAAAATAACTGCAGGTAAAAATTGAACAGATCTTTTATTTATGAGTAATGCATCAAAACTTATTAAACATCATTAGAAGTGCTCCTACCTGACTGGTTACTTTCATCCTTTCTATCAGCTGTTGAGCATTGTATGCTTCTGTGGCACAACCAGCAATAAGCCTCAAAACACATCTCACCTGCAATGAACAAGTTATGTTTAATGTGGTCCTTAGTGTTTAACTTCCTTAAGAAGGAATCTCTACATCAACATTATATTTCTGACTCCTGAATCAAATCTGGTGTCTGTTCATAAACACAGAGGTTTTCATTTGGAAGAAAGAGTTAGCAGAAGGCAGTCCCCGTTTTGTGGATTAAGAAAGGACTTAACAGCCACCTGTTTACAATGAAGATACACCCAATTTAAGTCACCTTACTTACCTGTTGTAGGGCCACTATGAAGGGTGTGGTGATGTCTATGTATAGAGGGAACTCCTCCTCCAGGGAACGGACCAATCGCTGGTGAGTTTTCTGCCAGGTCCTCTCTTCTTTAATCTCATTGGATAATTCTCCAGTTTTGCAAACCCTTAATAACTTTTCCATTAATTGAATAGTGTGAGTGGCAGATCCTTTGGTATTTACAAAGTCCCTTATCATATTCAAATTTGTTTGTACTGCAAGAGAGCAAATGAATTTCAAAGTCAAGAAAGACAACTGACAGAGAAACTGATAAAATTTACACACATATTGCCCAAAGTGTTTTGAACAATCTTTGTCATTAACATATAGCCATCACATTAATCCTGAAATATAAAGCCATTCACCTGACAGGTGCTTGGTCTGTAGGCCTGCTGGGACTGTAAAGCCTCTATCTGTCTCTGTAACTTCTCCCTCCTGTCAATCAAGTGGAGGATCAAAGGATGTTGTAGGTGGGAGGGTGTGTCCAGCAGATGTTAACCCGTCATTTGTCTGTGATAGGTGACCTTGACCTCAATATCTGTATTTATCTCGTCCAACTGATATAAAATTTATTAAACTATTAATTTATTTTTTTTTATTTTGATTTATATAAATTTTCTTTAAAATTATTTTCAGTTTATTCAATTTTGCAACAGGAAAAAAAATCAAGAGCAAAAACATTATTTATTAATTTCTTAATGTAAACAATCCCCTACTTTGTCTTACCTTCCTTTGTTTTAGCTGTAATTTTATCTGTGTCTTTACTACAGGATCAACAGGTGACCTTGGTTTGTGGAGGAGCATGCCCAGTAGACCTACATACACCCACTGTCTCCCTACTGTACTCATATCAGCGTCTTTATCAGAAATGGCAAGTATTCCACTCAAACATTCCCTGACTATAAATAGATCAGGTCATATTCTAACCATTGCATCACGTGCTAGACCTGTGCTAAATGGAAGTGACTTTATTTGCAACTGGATGGATGTTGAGTGCTGTTTGATATGCTCTTTGCACGGGGATCCTCCACTTTGCAGTGCCCTTGTTGAGAATCATACAGTCATACAACATGACTTTGAGTATAACTTGTTGCTGTATATTTTGTCCTGGAGTTAATCTTGATCAAGTAAGGGTGATCAAATTTCTTTTTCTTTTCTTTTTTACTATACGCCGTATGTCCTTATAGTGAATTCTTACTAAAATACAGGAGTTCCAGGATGGAAAATAAGATTACAGAACATTAGTATTATCAGAACATTAGTATTATCAGCGTCAATATTTTATCAATAAACCAATTCTTTAAATATTTAAATTATATTTGAATTATAAACATGTTCAAAGAAACAGGATTGTTTAACAAAATATATTTTTCACTCTTTGCTCTTCTGTTATTTTTATACCTGATATTCAAATTACATTTACTGTGTGTAAGTCTAGCCCATTTATTCTCTTTTTATTCAATTTGTGCACTGATGCAAGGACAAGGACAATCAATTGTCATTCGTCTTACCTCAGCTATCTACAGTACCCCGGCCACAATGTGTTTTAGCAGGAAGTAAATCACATTCTACCTGGATAGACGTCATACAGTTGCACATTACAAATTAATGGCTGACGTTTATCACGACTGTGAAATATTGTGATAGAGATTTATGTACTAGACTACAGAAAAGGTAATACTTTTAAATTAGTAAGTGTTGAGCATGTTGAAAGCTATTTAGACTCATACCACTACCTAGTGTGTCTTTATTACCTACACGCTGATAATAACTTTTTTTTAGAGTTTGAGACAACAAAGATGGACCAAGAACCAAACACAGCCCAGCACTATATTGAGTGTGACACAGAATCATGTAGGAACTTTTCTGAGTTTTATTGCAACACCTGTCACCAGCGAATCTGTCCACAGTGCAAACAACGCCATCTTGAGCAGAACAAAGGACATGATATTGCCCTCTATGAAAAGAGAAAGAGAAAACTTCCTTTAGAGAAATGCAACATCCACCCAACAGAAGATATAGATGTTTACTGTGATGATTGCCAGGATCCTGTCTGTTTTTTATGCTTTTTTTTTAATCACAGTGATCATGATAAAAGTGACCTTGAAACCATTTACAATGATATTTTACAGCAATGTCGGAAGGAAATAACAGAGATCTTGAAAAAAGACATTCCTGAAGCTAAAAATAATGTTGGATCAATTGAGGAAAAGAGAGAAAATGTCAAGAAAGAATTTGCCAAGTTAAGAGTTTCCATGCATGAGAGAGCAGATGAACTGAAGATGGCTGTTGATAGTGTACTTACTGATAATAACAAAAAACTGGATGAGATCGAGAACTCTGTCCTTAATGATATGGTGAAACAACAGAAGGAAACAGAGGACTACATAGAATACCTGGAAAAAATGATTGCAGACTACGAAACTAGAGTGTCATCCATAACACACACTGAGCTTATGAAGTTCCATTTAGACATTGCATTGGCTACCATGAATATGCCTAACAAATCTAAATCTAAACTTCCAACTTTTACATTAGGTACACTAAATGAACAAGAAATAGCCAAACAGTTTGGTGAAATAGAACTAGATTTATCAGAAAGGTTTAAACTTTCGTCTGTCACAAAAGTAAGTGAAAAAACTATCCGCAGAGCAGGAACTTCTCATTTGTCTTTCTTACCCCCAAACAAATTCTGGGTCAGTGAAAGTAGGGGGAATATCAATCAGTATGATACGGAAGGAAACATCTTACATAAAATATCCACCATTGTTTTGGATTTCCAAGGTAATCACACAGTCACAACAGAAGGAGAACTTCTTTACACAGATTACAGTAAAAACACTGTCTGTAGAGTAACTAGTGACAAGTCTTTAAACAAACTTATCCAGACAGGGAGCTGGAAACCTGGAGCTATCTACTCCTCTCCTATCAATGGACACATATTGGTTGGGATGGAGGGAAATTATAGAGAAACTAAAATAACCAGATACAACAGAAATGGCAGGAAGTTACAGGACTTACGGTTGAAAGTTAAGGGAAAAACTCTCTACCAAGGTGTAAACTACATCACTTATTATAATTTACATCAAATTAACTACATCACAGAGAACATTAATGGTGACATTTGTACATCTGATAGTAGTTCCGGTATTGTTGTGGTGGTAACCAGAACAGGAGAGAACCGGTTCACTTACTTTGGTCAAAAGCCTCAGTATAGAATCTGGCCAAGGGGAATCTGTACAGATGTCCTAGGACACATTCTTGTGTGTAATGGCTATCAAACATTTGATGAGAATTACTCTAGTGTCCACTTGCTGGACATCAATGGTCAGTTCCTGTCTTTTCTACTCACACCAAGACAATGTCCTTCACTTCCCCGTGCTCTCTGTATTGATGATCAACACAATCTCTGGGTCGGGGGATCAAAAAGTTCTACTGTCTCTGTGTACAAGTATTTGCAAGAAACAAAACAATAATATTTTATTTACTGTATTATGTTAATGCTTAATCAGATTTTGTAACAAACAGCCTCTCTTAGTTAGACATAAGTGTTAACTTAATGGAGATATAAATTATAACAAATGTTAATAAGTTTCACAAGTAACACATGAGTAAGTTCACCTAAGTGTACCTCCAGCATTTGATTGTTATCAATAATATTTGAAATTCCATAATTTAAAATATACACAGGTATTATTGCGTGTTAATTTCCCTAAATAATCATTATGATATAAATTTTTCATTACACATGTAATTTTTTTGTTCTCTTTATTAAATTTACTTTTATAAAATTGGCAAGTTTGTTCTGGTTTGCTTATCGTTAGAAACAAATTGTCAATAATCATGAGCGTTTGAAAATTCAATGTAACAAGTTGCTTAAGGTCAACATGTCCAAAAATTATTTTTACAATAGCCCCAAAACTATATAAGGTATAAAGTTAAAACTTTTATAGTTTATAAATTTTTGATTTATTAACAGATAGAAAGTATCCTTTGATTAAAAAATACTTGGAATAATATTTATTGAGAAAAATTCACCTTAGAATGCATATATTTTCAAAAAAATACACCTAATTAATTCTGTGCTTTTAGTGAAAACCATCATTGCAGAAACAAAATATGTTTATCAATGAAGGGCAAGTTTGACATGGATAGCCTCTGGAAAGTTGTGTTCCCTGTTTATTTTGTCCAAATGTTAAGACTTGAAAGTGAAAGTACACTGCAAATGGCGGATTCTAAAGGGGTGTTGTCTTTATATATGTCATGCTTTCAATAACAGTCTTTCAGAGACCATTCACGTCCAACTTGCCCTTCAATGATAAACATATATTATTTCTACAACCCTAACAAAAAATACTATAGTTTACTATAGTAAACTATAGTAAATCAAAGTTCCAAATTTTTCACCATAGTAAATCAAAGTTCCAAAGTTATTACTATAGTAAATCAAAGTTCCAAAGTTTTCACTATAGTAAATCAAAGTAATTTTTTTTATTTTCAATTCTTCATACAAACAAACAGTGAAATATATATATAACAGACAAATTACATTACAAACAATATGACAATATTACCTTCAGACAATTTTATGCAAAATTTTTAAAAAGTTTGTAGTCAAGTGATTTCAAATTTTTTAGAATGGAAGCATAGAAAAAAAATTGAAGATTTAACGTGATTAAAGATGTTATAACTAGTTTCATCTAAGGAATTTATTCGACAGTACATCTTATATTTGTAAATCCTACAGGCAACATATGAGATGAGTGTGTTGAGTGATACAATTTTTCTATTGCGCTCAGAGCTAAATCCAATTATTACATGTTTCCATTTGATATCTATCTTCAAACTTACAAACTTAATCTATTCCATATTTCACCAACATTTTTACATTCAAAAATGAGATGTTTTGAAGTTTCATTCACGTGGCATAATTTGCAATTACTACTCGTTTCTTTTTTCCATTTACTGAGATACAAGTTATTACAAAGAATATTGTTTAAAAGTTTATAGTTGAATTCTGTAAGTTGTTTATCGGGTATGTCATATAATTTACATTGATATATATTCTTCCATTCTGAGGGTTCAACACTGAATTCTTTGCTTAAAACTATTTGATAACATAGTTTACAAAATTTTCTGTGTATAAGATTGTCATAGAAAAAGTTACATCTTTGATCTATGATATTTACATATCCTGTATAGAAAAGAAGATAATTTTGTATCTTATGTTAAAAAACTTACAATTTGAAAAATCATACTTTAGTAGCAAAGGTTTGAAAACAGAAGTAAGAATTTTATATTCACACAACCAGTTTGTCTTGTTTTTTTATACAATTAGAAAAATCTAACAATGATTTAAAATTACCATCATCGTCAAATAAGTCTTTAACATGCAAAATCCCACTGGCTATCCAGTTTTTAAAAAATAATGTATTTCCCCTATAAACAAAGTTACAATTGTTCCATATCGGCTGTCGAAGAACATTATCGGAAGACATTTTGTTCAAAAAACAGGGCTTACATTCATTAAAGCAACATAACATTTGTTGATAAAATTTAGGTAGTTTCTCTAATTTTTCCATATTTTCTACTTTTCTATCAGAAAAATCTAACACATAGAGAACTTCAAAATTTGATTTTTTACAATAACCATCAAAAATTTTGTACAAAATACCTTTGCTTTTTAACAATCTAGGTACCCAAGCTGCTTTTAAGGCTTTTAATTTACATTCAATATCAACGATTGAGAGTCCACCTTTTAAAATTCTACCTATAAGCGTGTTTCTTTTAATTCGTTCATTTTTATCCCAAATGAAGTTATAAATTAGACGTTGTATTTTTTTAATGTAAGCATTATCAGGAAGACTTAGTATTGAGGCAACGTATGTAAGTTTAGATATAGCAAGTGTCTTAACTATACATGATTTACCAAATAGCGTTAGTTTTCTTCTTTTCCAAGATTCAAAAAGTTTTTCAATATCGTGATAAATTTTCATCCAGTTTTTAGTGTAACATTCTTCCTTATCATGCCCTATGAATATTCCCAAACATCTTACTGCTTTATTCGTAATTTTTATACCGTAGAGTTCATCATATAAATTTTTTAGTTCCCCTATAAAATGCATTCTGTCTTATGCATGTTTACTTTTGAACCCGCATGTTCACAGAATTCTTGTAATTTATCCAGAGTTCGCTTCATTGATATTTCGTCTTTTAAAGCTACAGTCAAATCGTCTGCATGTTGGATGTTTTTAATTTCATAATTATTAATTGTAATGCCTTTTATATCAGTATCACATTTTATTTTAATAGCCAAAATTTCTGCGACGAATAGGTACAAGAGAGCGGAAATAGGACAGCCTTGCCTAATTCCTCGCGTCATTTCGCTTGTTTTAGAAAGCCAGCCGTTGTTTTTCATTTTAAACATTGGATTTGTATATAAAATTTTTGCCCACTTTATAAAACTATTGCCAATATTAAATTTTTGTAAGACTTGGAAAAGAAAATTCCATTCAACCGAGTCAAATGCTTTTTCAAAGTCTAAGAAAAGTAATATACCATCTGAATTTTCTCTTTCACAGTATTCAAAAACGTCAAGTACTAATCTAGCATTTTCACCGATATATCTCCCTTTTATGTAAGCCGTTTGATTTTCGTTAATCAACTTATATAGTATATTTTGTAATCTCTTTGCAAAGACAAAGGCAATAATTTTATAATCTGTATTTGTTAAGCTTATCGGTCTATAGTTTTTTAAATTATCTTTTTCACCCTTTTTGTGGATCAGTGATATAATAGAAAGTTTCTGTGTGTAGACAATTCACCTTTATCAAAAATATCATTAAGTGCTTTATAAAAGAAAGGCCCAAGTGTTTCCCAAAAACATTGATAAAATTCACTAGGAAGGCCATCTAGTCCAGGTGATTTTTCTTTTTTCATGCTATCAACAGCTTCCTTGCACTCTTCATATGTTGGAAATTTTTCTAACAATATCTTATCTTCTTCACTTAATTTAGGGATATCGTCTATCTCAGATAAATATTTTTCTATTTTTTCGTTTGAAATTTCTTTACTAGTATATAGTTCGCTATAAAAAGAATACATTTCACCTAAAATGGCATTAGTTTTACTGATTTTATTTCCTTCTCTTGTTTTTATTTCTTTAATTACGTTTGATGATTGATTGCGTTTTTCTAAATTTAAAAAGAATTTTGAATTTTTCTCCCCCTCCTCTATCCATTTAATTTTAGACCTTATCTGCGCACCTTTAGATTTTTTGTCATAAATAGCGTCAAGTTCCGCTTCTAAAGTTTTCAGTCTTTTGTAATTAAAATTTTCTACGTTTCCTTTCTCCATATCTTCTATTTCGCGTTCTAGTGTTCTTATCTTTTGTTTAATTGATTTTTGTTCATTTTTTGCAAAATAAATCGAGAAATCTTTAACCTTTCGTTTAATTAACTCCCATGTCATAATAGGGCTTAAAGAGGAATCTATACTATGAATAATGTCTAAAATACCTTTTTTATATTTTTCATTGTCGAGATAGGAAACGTTAAGTTTCCAATATCCGGGACCTTTTTTCGTTTTATCGATATCAAAACTAAATTTTAAGTATCTATGGTCACTCATTCGACTCCCGTTTGAATGAGTGCCTGGAATTTTCTAACCTTGATATCTGCTAAGCTATAATAAAAAGAATCAGTTATAAACTGCTATGCTATAATCTATTAAAAAGAATCATTTTTATGCTCGACATTTAGGATCATTTTTTATATAGTGAAACCTGACATAAAAGAATTTTGTTTTTTCCATATATCATCCATGTTATAATAAGATCATTTTTTGCATAACACTTATCAAATCTTTTAAATAATTTGCACTTTTATCTACATTATTAATATTGTTTATTGGCAATTAAAGTCTCCACATAGTATAATATTTTCGTTGTTTTTTTTTGAAATAAACACAACTTTTTTAATAAAGTTCTTAAGTTTTTTGAAAAATTCACACCTCTTCTTAATTTCATTAGGTGCATCTATATTTACTATTGTAAAAATAATACCCTCGACTTCAAGATTTATCAGAATTTTCCTACCATCAATAGACTTTTTGACATTTATTATATTTACATCTAATTTTTCATTAAATAGAACAGACACGCCTCTACTGAATGCAGAGTAGCTATATGCGTGAAATGTTTTTCCTCTCCAGTTTAAATTATATACAGATTCATTTTTTTTCTAAAAAATGTGTTTCTTGCAACAGAATGATATCTATGTTACATTTTTTAAACCATGTAAAATTTTTCGTCTTATTTCAGGGGTATTTAAACCCCTTACATTAACTGAGATAAATTCTAATTTTTCCATAAGAATTAATATTCAAATGCATATATTTGTTATAGAAAAAAATACCGTAACATTTCATTCCAGTCCGCTGATCGAGAATCAAAGTCCTGCGACGTTCGAGCATTACA